TAACATTATAATTTCGCATTCCATAATATTTGGAGTAGCTTATCCAAATAAATGATTTTTTTAATTGCTAATATTATATTGGTTACATTAGTATGTACTTCCTAAAAATGATGATCCATTCTAGAAATCATAGGAGATTCTAACATCTTAATATCCAAAACCTATTCCAGAATCATTATTAATTATTGCAGATGTTGAATTACTTGATATTATAGGGTATATTTAGTCCCAAGTCTAAGAAAATAAAAATGATGATGATGTTTCATCAGCTTAATATTATCTATTATCTTGAAGCCATTAACAAGGTGAGAATCCACCAAATATATATTCACTTTTAGATTTAAATATCATTTACAAATTAGTCATTTTATCAATACTACTCCAAAAAGCTGTTTAATTAAATCCAGACTCTGTCTAAGCATATATTAGATATTTATTTTTTATTTTCTTTTTCGTACTTTTCTCTATAAATTTGTATATTTTTTAAGCAAATTCAAACTTTAATATTTTTGTCTCCTTTTTGCCAGTTCATCTTTTTCATTAAATCTTCTTACTTTAATTCTGATATATATTCTTCAATCAATTCTTAAATCTGATGCTTATTAATTTCTGAATCTACTGCTAAAGATAAATATGTTGATTGAATCATCTTTTTATTCTCTTCTCCTTATAATAATATTTGTTATTTTTCTTATTCTATATCGATTAATTTATAATCAATTTCATCAATCTTCACTAAACTTTCCAATTTATCTTAAATATCTTATAATTGTTTATACAACCTTTAATATATCTAAACTGATTAAGAATATTATATTTCGGGCTCAGATTCTAAGAATTTATCTAACTTTCCTTTTTATTTTAGATTATTTAATGTTTTTAAAGAATTAAATAAATTTTAAAAGAATGACAAATATTCGTCTAAAATAGTGGTCCTTTAATGGGAATCAGTAACTGTTTCCTCATTCTCAATTGTATCTTTAGAAATATCATTTAATTTTATTAGTTCTAAATAAAATTAAAATTTACATTAATCATAATTCTATTATAATTAATCCTCCACAACTAGATTTTCTTTCATCAACTCTTCTAATAATTTAGTTTGATTTTTATAAACTTCAAAATCCTCTTCATTTTAGATTTTTTCCTTATTTTTCTACTCTACAAGAATTTTAATTATAAAAAGAAGATGCTGTTTGTCTTATTAAAATAAAGAATTATTTTTCAATTTCAAAAGTTTTCCATAGTTTTCTGGTTCTTTAATTAATTGATTGAACAAGGATTCATTAATTTTAGATAATTATTGATTGTACTTCTCTTATAATTTTTGAATAATTTCTATCACTTAATTAAATCTTGTTTGTCTCTAGATTCTTTATTCATCCTGCTCTTCTAAATACTTTTTCCATCTTTCGTTAGCATTATATAAATCTATGATATTGGAAACATTCTTATTCTCAGCAAAATATTCTTATATGCAATCGATGCATAAAAAAGGCTTTTTCTACTCTAATTCTGTTTTACTTAAATTGAGAAAAATAATCTCCTTTAAATGAGTTTCACAAATAATTTTTAAAGCTGGATTTATCTATTTAATTAAATAAAGCTTACATGTTATTAATTTTGATCTTAGTTAATTTATAATTATTATTCTAATTCTTCTACTTTTGATGTTTCATGTAATTATACAGAATTCTTGATTTAGTCCAAATGTTTTTAAATCTAGTGCAATATTGTCGGAATCTCTCTTGAGTATAAATTGTCTTAAGGGCTTAAGGATTAATCTATGTCTTTCTAACAATTTGATAATAATTGAATATTATCCTCAAGTGTTATGGGTTCTGGAATCTCTTTCATCTTTTTTTATAATGTAGTTATTTGTGATTCTATTGAGTTAACCAAAGCTTCTAAAGGTTTCTATAAATGTTGGTTCGATTTTATAAATGTTTTCAATTTTTGCATATCTTCCAACCTCTGCTTATTCTATTATTCTTTATTCATCATTAACTACTTATTCTAACTTTCTGCTTTTATTAGGGCATCTTCATATAAAATAATTTTATTTGATCCTATTTTTTCAATAAGGCATTTCACACAGTAAAACCTGTTTTAATAATTTTTTTTATTGAATTATTCTGAAAGGTCTACAGCTACAATTTAAAAACCTTTATGGCTATCTTTTTAGCATTCTTTGTTGACTTCTAGTTATAAAATTTAATTATTTTTTAATTCATTCAATAATGTTCAAGTATTAAAATCAATAATAATATAATTTCAAAATTATATAAAATTAATAGAAATCAAAATTTAACACTTTAGTATGTAAAAAGACAGAATTATATTCAAGTTGCACTAATTTTATAGATAAACTCTTTAATGGCATCGTCATACCTTTATAAATCAGAATAAGCACGACTTATTATTATGATATTATAACCTTTACAACTCACAAAAAGAAATTAGCCATTCAACATGAAGTTAAGAGATTTAATAACGGACTCTATAGTATTTGTAATTTAATTACTTTGTCTATAGATCTATTATTACATTTCAATAATTTTCATCCAAAATATTATTTTTTTTGAGGATATGTTTCTTAACAATATTATTCCTACTAATATTTTTTGGTATTATGCAGATCATCAAGTACTACTCTTCTCAATTGTATTTATTTGTTGTTTTTCTTTCATGAATTAATTCCCCAATATTTATACTGAAATAACTCTATTTGTGAATTTATTAGAATTAATCAAATACATGGTTGCTATTCCTAATAATTAAGTGTAAATATAGACTGCTTTTAACTATTTGATAATTGTTAAGATATTTTTTATTATAATTCTACTTGAGCTTTGAGATATATTTTTTTTGATTAACTTATTAATCTAATTTAATTGAATTAATTTTTTAAAAAACTTTATCTAAAATTTTTGAAATATTTAAAAATAGTATATTTGCTTGTGGTATGACAATGAAATAGTTACCTGCACATTGAAATAGAATAAATTTAATTTAGGAGAAAAAAATTTACTTGATCTTTATTTTGTTGCATAATATCTATTTATTAAATACAATATTCTAATACACAACCGTAGAGAACTATTATATTTAATGATATTTATCATATTTAACTCTGAAAATTTAAAAAAAAACCAAGATTTTTATATCATTAAGAAATTATAATTTTTTTTATATAACTTTTTAAAATACAATTAATAATTAATTTTTCCTAACATCTATGATACTATAAAGTAAGATATTAAATGTTAATTAATTTTTTATTTCATCTTTTTCGTTATCATTTTCAATCTAATGATATTACAAGATCATTCTTATAGGTGTTATTGTCATATTTTTGATTTAATGATAATTAAATTTAATTTCAAAAATGTTGAGTCAAAACTTAAGATGATTAAAAATAATTACTTTTCTCTTCGATATCAACAATCAAAAGTCAAGTTATTGTGGAGTTATTAAAATTCACAATGCTTGCTACAACAGTTTGTTATTAATTTAAATTGTTTTTTTATTGCAGATGTATAAAATTTTAAAATACTCTTATCACGCAATATAATGTGATAATTATATCATATATTATATATTAAATAATATCAAATAATTAATATTTTCTTATTGATTTTCAGTATTTAAGGGTTTTACTTTCTATATTTATTTCTAAAGTAACTAGATTAGTGTGTAAATTAAATAAAATTATTCAAATTGAAATGCTTACACTTTCCTGGATTTATCTCACATATCCGCATTTTAATTTTCTTCATCAATTATTTAAAGGCGAAGTTCTGATCGTAAGTTAATTCTAGTTGGTCTATTATTCTATTTGAAGTTTATATCAAGAAACTCTTAAAAATTATCAGCAATAACTAAGAAAATTGAATTATAAGACGAAAAAAGAAGTGTTTTTCTATAGTATTCTTTGAAAATTTCTTTGGCAATCATAATTCTTGACAATAGTAAATCAAATCAATATCAAATTGTAATTTTAGCTAAAAAATAGACTTGATCTAAAAATAAACTCAATGAAAAAATTAGTGTAAAGTAATTTCCTTATCCATTTGAATAAAATTTTATTTATTCAACCTGATATTGAAAAATAATATAATCTCACCTTTATGTAAATATAAAATAATGTTGAATTACTTTCCCACATAGTAGAGAATTGATAATCAATCAATAATGATTATTAAATGCTTATTTATACACGAAGATTGCAGAAATGTTGAAAAAATAAATTCAATTGATAGCAGAATTAATGTTATTTTCTTAAACTATCCAAAAATTAATCTGATGTGTTATTATCCATTAAAAATTTATGTATTTAAATTTTATTCTTAATCATAATGAATTCTAATAGAGTAATAGGCGATATAGAAAAATTATATATTAATATATTGACTTACATTTATTTATATCCATTTCTATCATCAGGATCACAATAATTAATATCCCATTAACCAATCTTCATACACTTAAAATTCTATAAACTATTAGAAATGACTTAAGCCATAGATTAAAAACCTTCCCACAACTCTATCCACTTCCCAATTTTTATCAATTGATCCACCACCCGTAAGATATTAACGCCTATAATTATATAATTTTTACATTAATTTATATTCCTACTCATAATATAAACAATAGCCAATATCCCATTTACCAATCTTTACCCCTTTTTTATTATATTAACCATTATAAATGATTTATTTTTAAATTTAAAATCCTTCATCCAACTCAATCTATTTCCCTTCCTTTATCCTTAATTATTGTAGAACCCACCATCACTGAATAATTATTTAATAATTACATTTTTACTTAATTAGTAAATATAATACCATTATCCGATCCTCTTGTCATTATTGTATTTTCCAATTTCGTAAACTCGTGCTTAACTTTTGATGATTTAAAATTTAAATATACTCTCTATAATTTTATATTAGATCTCTCCATAATCCTTGTTTTTGCCCTTCTTTATAGTATAACAACATCCAATTAGAAATTTGGTATATCCACCAACATTCATTATAATTTTTCCTTCCAAGAAGCAATCCATTTTCCTCTTTTTTTATTGTCTAACCTATATTAAGTAAGAAATTTTAATCTGTACTATATAATTAACATGAGCTGTTTGATAATAATTATAATAATAAGCAAGAAGGTGAGAATTCTTATCATGAATTAAGAAGTTACATATTCTATTAAATTTTAATTGATCTCTAAAAACTTATGTAATTTAATATTGATTGATCAATGAGATAGATAAATAGATGAATTGATAGAAAATTTTCTAATATAAATTCTTTAATTTATAGTTTTATTTTTAGAAAAAAATATTAATATAATGAAATTTAAGAATTGGATTGTTATATGAACTTGAGTAAGATTGAACATAAATCATTTAATTAAACTGAAAAATAGTATTCGTTTTTTCTATTTATAGTATTTTATATATTTAAGAATTACAACAATTGATGAATGTTATAAAATATCTGCTCCTATATAAACAAAGGAGAAGTTAAATAATATAAATTATTTGATGCTCTAATATATATAAGAATAATATTTAATATTTTAATGCTTCATAACATTTATAATTATTTCTGGATGTAAACTTTATCATTTGATCCTTTTACTAATGCAGCCTAATAAAATTGTTTAGCTTCTTATTTTTTCCCTAATTCAAATAGAGAATCAGCTAAATAATTATTAAATAATTCCGTTACCTTTTCGCATTAATCTTAAAGAAGTGATTTTTATAGAAAGTGCTTTATCATAGAATAATATTGCGTCTATATTATTCTTTAAATTGTGTAGTGCATAACCTAAAATAAAATTGAATTTACCTTTATTACTGCATGCCATATCATTTTTAGGAATAATAGCTATAGATTTGTCGTAACAATCAATTGCTTCTTAGTATTTGTTCAAATTATTTACAATCTAAATGAATAGATAATGCTAATCCTTATAATAATATTTAACAATTAATTACCCGTCCAATTCCATGTTATATCATCTTAAGGATTTATAGCTTAGATTTGTCAATTGCTTCTTTTACTTTATCCTAATTAGATAAAACCTAAATCAATAAAATGAATAGATAATTCAAATCCTTAATTACAATAAAATTCATTATACCTTCTTTTTTTAATCTGTTGGATTCTTGTATATTCTATTCCTTCTTATGTTCACTCTCTTTATTTATTTCTTATATTTTGATATCCTCTTAATTTCCCTAACTAATTTAATCCCCAGTTAAAGTTACATCTGTTACAATATCCTCAATAATATCTAATAAATTTTTTAATTATATTATTTTAAGTAATTTAGAATAAATTATATTATATTATACAAAATATACAAAATTAAAAATAAAAAATTATGTGATTTATTATTATGAAAATGACATTAGCCTTTAATATAAAAATGATATTATATATGATTATCAAAATGATATTAACTTTGGATTAAAGTTTAGCCTAAAAAAATTTTTATTATAAAAGATTTATATACTATAAAACCCCTAAAATTAAAATCCTGGTGGGTAGTGGCCTCGACCTTACTAAAATCGTTGAGAGGATAGACAGACACTAATACCTCAGTGAGAGACCAAACCCCAATTTATTTTATAATAATGAATGGTATTTATAAATTCAAACATTATGTTGTTTGTTTTAGGCATTCAATTTATTTTATAAATTTAACAATTTTTGCTAAGTTTCTTTATTCTCAACAAAAATCGTCTTTCTTCTAATCAGTACATAACCAAATAAAACCAGAAAAATTAGGAATACAATAATTATTAAATATAAAAGAACTTGATAAAAGCTGAAGGATTTAGGGCATTAAGTTTCTTTTTTATCTAAATCTAAACTTATATAATTATAAGAAAATATACCCTCCTACACATGAAGTTAATTTAATGTATCCTTATGATTTAAAATAGGTTTTGCCAGGTTCACAGTTATCAGAAATATTTACAATAGGTAAACAATCTCCTCCTTCTCTTTAAATAGCATATCCTGAAGCACAATTCCAATCTTCTCTTTTACAAGGACAAGGTTCAATAATTTTTTTGGTAATCATCCATTTAGGATTAAAACATTATGAATTTTCTTTTTTCCTATAATATTTAGTCTAAGAACCATCAATACATTTAGAATTCCATATATCATAATCTAAATTGGATTTACAATCTCTTAGAAAAATATCACTAAAATCCAATTTTAAAATGATGCCTTCTCCTTTATCAGTTCTACCATAAATAAGAAAATATCTAACTGTACCAGAGGCTTCAGTAACAATATTTTGGGCCATAAATAAATCGTCATAGATGATTTTAGTTTTCCATGTTTTACCATAATCAATAGAATAAATGATTTCATTAGTAGGTTCATAATCTTTTGCCACAACAATAATTCCACCAAAATCTGCAATTTCAAATACATGTGATCCTTTTCTTACTTCAATCCAATTCAATCCTCCATCTGCTGACATATAGGTATTTTGTTCTTATGTTATAAATAATCCAACATTTCCAACTCCTAAAATTATACCAGGTGCTTATTCTACTGTATATATTGTTTATCTATAAGATTCAGTCCTTCCCAAAAAATGTAAAGAGCATTCTCCTCCACATTCTATATTATTCCCTTCAGAATCATTCTTTGGAGCTTTTATGGATTCCCATTTCTTTCCTCCATTAAAACTAATAACTGTTAATTTATCTTTTTAATCTCTTTAATCATATGTATTTGCTACATAAGTTGATGTTAATCCTAATAGTTTTTCAAAATCACAATTTCCATCTTAAGTTGATCTAACATTATTTGTCAAAACTATTTAGAAATCTTATCCTATTTAATTACTAATATAAACATTAGATTCTGATTATTCTTATTAATAATGAGAAACAGATAAGTATATTCTACCATTTTCTGTATCTAAAACTGTATATGAATATTCTTTTAAAATTTATAATGGTAACTCTACTAATTTTTCTTAAAATTCTTCTAATTTAGAATTACCATAATGTAATTCATAACCTCCATTACTAGAAGATGTTAAAACAAATAAATATTTTGAGGTTTAATAATATCCTTATGCTCCAATCATGAAAGTATGATAATTAGCAAAATCATCAGAGTAAATCAATTAAGTTTAATTCTCATTAGAAAATAATATAATAGATCTTTCATCTGGAACTGTAATATCTTCTATCACTTTATCCCATGAAGCTTCTCTACAATTTTTAAATGATGGTAACCATGTCTTTGCTCCATTTTCAGAATAAAACAATTAATTATTATATGGCTCTCTGCAATCCATGTCAAAATGATCACATTATTATTTTTTAAATGCTAATATCCATTTCCAACTCCTTTTATTCAATCTAAATCCATAGAAACCCTCCGTGTCTATTTCTTCAAAATTATCACCGCAATCATTTGTTCTATAGTTTTTCTAACCCTATTGACCAAATAAATATATAACACGTGAATCTGCAGGAGATACCTAAATATCTTCAAATAATCCCTCAATCTAAATCCAAACAGTTCCAATACTTTAAAATATATGATGAGATTCAGTGATGAAGAATATTGTTTTTTCTTCTTCTAAACCTTGAAATTAAGGTATAATTTCATCTTCCCTTGTATAAATGATAGAAGCTCCACACCAAGATATTTAAGTAATAGGCCTTTCTAAAATAATTGAACATGTGAAGAAAAGTAGAAAAGGTAAGAAACGAATTACAAACATAATCGTGTTTAATTTTAATAATTATATTTCAACAACATTGTGAACTTTTTTAATTCCAATCACCTACTATCTAAGTTTATACTATCTATCCCACTTTCTTATATTAATTAAAATCTGCTTTCAAAGAATTCTAACTTTTTTAGAATATTTTTTGCCAATTGCCAAATTCTTAAATATTAGTTGACTATTCAGCTGAAGTTTCTTTGAATTACAATTTTAATTGTTTTGATTTTATTTATTTAGAATGCTACCTAATGTTTCACCTTCCTCATTAGACACAGTCCTTTTGTCTTCCATATCTTCTTATGTATATCTATACCCTTATATACTATAAGCATACTTATCAATTTCAGATATCCACATCTTCATAGAATCAAGAATCTAATGATTCTCTGTCTATTATATCATTAACTATAATTATCCCGTGCTCCTCTATTGTTTTCAGCAATAATCATTACCAATAATTAATATATGAGATTTTTCTGAATTTGTCTTGTCCTGCTGTATCCAACTATGATTTTTAGATATATTTTTACAATCTGCAACTTTATATTTTAATTCTCCAAGAATATTGATTTGATTTTCTATTAATTTGTATTATAAAAGTTATTAATAAAATTATTATCAACATATCCATATCCAGAGATATATATGAAAAGAATTCTTTCCAGAAAATTACCCTTTAGATTGTAAGTATAGATATTTCTAAGTTTTAATCACTTTAGAAATATACGATTGTAATTTTTATAAATTGATACGGGTAAGCCTAATTAGATTTTTAATAAACAATTCTATTACTTCCTTGTATACCATAAGATAAATTAGAAAAATGATAGACCTAAAAATAAATCAATTATTTACTTTTGAATTAATAAGAATAACTATCCGATGTTTTATTTCAATTTATATAATGAAACTTAATAAATTTTTGCAAAATTTTAGTTTAATTTACATTTATGTTAAGAACAAATATCATTGGCAACTGAAAATGAATGGGGAAGTAAAATATAATGTTATATTTAAAGGCTATTTTCAAAGAAATCATTATATTTCATTAAACATTTTTTTCTTGCAATTATTCCTTAACAAATGATAATTACAATTTTCTTTGATTGATCAAATATCACATCACAACAATGAATGTGTTAAAAGCTACTAAAATAAAATCTAAACAATTACCTCAAATAATGAAGAGCAAAGTACTACTCAATTTGATTACAATCCAAGCTAACATGATTCAATTTTATTTTAATAATAGAAAAATTACTAGATATACAAGTAAAATATCCAAAGTATCAATATAATTATTAGTACAAAGTATTGACATTTGATGAAATAAGAGAATAAATATAAATCGATATAAAATAAATATAAATCTAATATTGAATATGTATAAAAGTAGATTATAATTTCAAGAATATTGAAATCTTGGAGAGTAAAATTGGAAGTGCAAAAAGGTTACAATGATGTCCTATAGATTGAAATATTAAATCTCGATAACAATCTGATTTGATGAAGATAAGATTAGTATTTATTCTATATTATAATCATAAATTATTAAGTGTTTTTGAAAAATGATGTTCACTTCATTTGATAAGAATTAACACAATTTCAAATTCTTCTTTTCTATCACCTTCAAAACTCAAATAGCACTTATCCTTTACAGCTATGATTCTTACTATGACAGGAAATCTTATACTAGTATAGATTGGTTTTGCAAATTCA